AATTCACCCAAAGGATCCATTCTACATTTTTATTACTGTAAGCCGTTTGCATCATGACATTACCTGTAGAAAAGCATTGTTATTACAACTTGATCTCTGTGATTTTGCTTTAACCTATTGTGCATCGCTCTGACCTGGATAGCCCAGGCTAGCCAGTTCTCAGAAGCTAAGTAGGGTCAGCTCTGTTTAGTATTTGGATGGGCGACCACCAAGGAATACCAGGGTTGTGACACATAGGCAAGCAATGGCAAACCACCTCTGAACGTCTCTTGTCTTGAAAACCCTACAGGCTCATCATAAATCAGCTGTGACTTGACAGTGAAAGGGGAAAAGAGTGTTCTCTTTCCCTCTCAGCACTCCATAGCACATGCTCACTTTGTATCACCAAGGGTTTCTTCGAACGTATATGTCCCCTCCTTTCTCACTGAGCATACCACCACAAATCTGTACCCATATTTCTCAGTCCACGGCTCTCCCTATGGGTTCCTTCTGTTCCTTTGTGATGTTCCCTTCTCTCTCAGCAATCGTCACAGGTGTGCTATTCATCCCCTGCCCATTCTTTCCTAACCCACAGGTTTATCTGTGCCACTTCCCCTTTGTCTTCTTTCAGTCTCCTTGTTATGTTCCCGTTTCTTTTGCTTATCTCCACTCCTGCTTTCTGAGGATCCCTGAGTAATTCATATCCTGAGGAAATCTCAGGATATGACCACACATTGCATTTTCCCATGAATGTTCCATGGTTGCCACATGTGCTCTAGGAAGGGACTGGGACCATAGCACATAGGGAGAAGTGGCTTAGACCCCACTGGCACCATTTTCTTGACCTGAGACTGCCCCAAGGAGCTGCTGTTTGCCCGATTTGGAAAATATTGATGTGCATCTCATCAAAATATATGGAGCCCCAGCAGATCAAACAGCAGTTCTATAGGGCCTTTTCAGGTTAGCAAAATGGTGTGTGGGGAAATTCTAAGCCTCCTCCCCATGCACCATCGCTGTGGTCCAGATTGGGGCCATGTATGCCTGAGAAATAAGGAACTCCAGAACTTGTCTTGACCTGACCGGTTGATATCACCAGGGGAAAAGGTAGTTAAGCTCAGATGCAGGTGAGCTGTGCAATATGGCAGGTGAGAAAAACTGGCTCTGATTCTACTTCCAGGAAGAGGAGGAGTAATGCAGGTATTCGTCCACTCCCACTTTTGACAGGCAAACTTGAACTATTCTCACATAAAAGTGGGAAAGGACTGCAAATACGTATACTTGGGACCCCAAGTAGTGGTGGATCTGTGATCAGTCAGCACATTTTATATTACTGTAGATGTGGTATAGATCAAAGGTATTTGGTGTATTCAGGATTCTGAAGAAAGGGAGATCCAATAAGCCACCTGTCCTGATATGCAGTATCAAGAGTTTCTTAACTGACCAAATCCAACTTTTTTAAAAAAGAAAAATGATCAAGTATCTCACAAAGATCCTCAGTGAAAATACTTTTTGTATGAAAGGCATTGTAGAAGCAGAGAAAGAATAGACATTAAGGGTCAGTACTATGTTTCAAACTGTTATCGGAAAGCTCACTGGAGATTTTTCGAAATCTCAGAACAGATAAACTCAATTCTGTCTTCCTATCTGCATTCTTATTACTAAATAAAATCCCCAGGAATATGGGACACAAAATGCATGCTACCTATGGTAGTACAAATCAGAGAATTTGGTGTGTGCTGTTTCTCCTTCTTACAACACTACAGTGGTATGAAAAACCATACCTTCTCCAAATGTTTTCTTTTTAACTACAGAAGACATGACAGTCTATATAGACCACATAAGATGATAATTGTACCCCACTTGTAAAGTTCCAAGGAGTACTATCAGTTGGTACCATAAATTGTTCCATGCAGAAGGAACAAGTGAAGACTAGTAAGGGCTTCCGTGAGCTTAATTTTTTTTAATAGAACTGACCCATCCCTGAAGTCCTCATGCTTCATATGGGCTATCCACTTAAAGGGAAATTTTGTTGCATGTTTTTATAAATATATTTTCTTACTTTTATTTTAACAGTTGTAAATGTCAGGAAAATAGCAAAAGGGCTTCACTGATTGGAAGAGGGGATGTGTGTTGGTGATGCCATGGGCAACATCACTCTGAATCCTATGAGAGCATTTTCAAACCACTCATGCTGCTCTTAAAATGCTGTGTCTGTCTTTAACCCAGGTTTGCACTTTGCCTCTCTCACATCACACAGCTGTGTGTTCTTGCTGTTTTTATCTTCTAGGCATCGCATTTCCTGTGGGCTTGCTGGGGCCTGATCCAAGCCCAATTCTCTACGATAGATTTCAATTTTGCCAGGTAAGTCTGACTGTCTGCATTGATGAAAAAAAGATCCAAGGAGACGGAGGTAAACTTGAGGATGTCACTTCTTCCTGGGCAAAGGAGATTCAAGAACAATATGCCAGTGGCTGCTTTCATGCAGAAGGAAAGTGCCCATGAGACTCTCTCCACCTAATCGATTTGAAAGCCTAGTATCAGTGCAACATCTTCAGTACTATTAAGCTCTCTCAACATTATGGGTTTAATCATGAGTAGCTCCAGAGTGGATTCATCTAACATTTCACAGTCAAAGGGCATAACTTCCATACAGAGCCTCTCAAAATTCATTTGAGCATCAGATGTCTGTAACAGTTTTTTAAAAGCTCTACTTTTCAATCTTAGCCTATGTCTTTACATTGTAAAATAGCAGCTTTCTTTTGCAGGTGTATTCTGAGTCTTCTGTCTCCATATGGGCACCATATTGGGGCCTTTAACACAATTGTAGCTGGTAGCATGAAGGGTCATTAAAATTGAGACATGGTAGAGTTGCTAAACAATAGCAATTTTGTCAGTGTGCTGGAAAAGGTCATAGATGAGGGGGTTGTTAAAGGCCATAAATAGATGTAATAATGCTAGATTCTTAGAGGTGGCCCTACTATTGGTAGAGCAGCTGTTGGCCAAGCCATAGTGGTGATCACTTGAAGAGTTCACCGTCTCCGTTCTAATAACAGATTCCTTAAAATTTGTCCTTCTCCCTTGTCCTAACCACTCCCTCATGATTTTTCTCCACTCTCTTTTAATGCCTAATAATATTGATTATCCATCTGCCTTGTTTGACTCCTCCCTGTTGCATGGACTAATGGTGGGGTTTTGTTTATTTATTTATTTGATTTCTATCCCGCCCTCCCGGCCTAGCTGGCTCAGGGCGGCTCACAGCAGAATAGTTTAAAATAGTTTCATTGAGTTCGGTTTGTAGCACTATCCATACTTTGTTATGATATGTATTATTCATATATCACTCTCTTATGGGCGAGAGGGAGGATCTGGGACAGGTTAGAAAGTTGGGCTGAGTAAATTACAGTTTGCCCACCACTCGAACAAGAACCAGATGTGTGAGCAGTTGATGGGGAATGTTCATGAGGCAGCAATAATTGTCAGTCATTACACTAAAACATACATGATGTGTTGAGTGGTGTGACAGAAATATGGGAGTATGAAGTGCAGGGGTGTGCGTGAATCTATAAATGTATTGCAAACGAGGTCTTTATTGTTTTATACTAATGATCACAAGACATAGTAAAAGTAATGCTGGGAAGCAGCATTGTGTAATTAGATATAATAACTGTCTTTCTTGTGTTACTCCACAGGTATGCAGACATAAGATTTAAACAGTACTTTAAAACAAAGCCTGTAGTGACAGCCCTTAAAATGTCAAAGTGATGTGAAAGTGGAAAGCGTCTTCTGGTTCACAGGATTCCATACTTATTTTCTCCAGACTAGAGCACCTGCCACCCTGTCCTCTGAGATCAGTCTCTTTTGCAGTTGCTTCAAGGCTGAGAGGTCAGACATCATGAAACCGAGAAGTAAAAGGAAATCACACCTGCAAAGGCAAACATTAAACCAAGCTCCGGGACCATGGCTGTGCCACCTAAGGATTACCTGCCAAATTTACTTTCAGAAGGTGATGTTAGGACATGGCTTCTGGCAAGAGATTTTATTCATGGATTCTGAAGTATTAAGGAATGTTTCAAGTGCTTCCAGGCTTGAAGAGTGGGGCTGAGAGATTTATGTAGCCTTAAAAGTCAGAGCTGGATGGAATCTTCTTTGTCCCATGGTTGAGGGAAGAACGGACAGGCATAGGTTCCAAGCACATACGAGATTCTGCTCCTGTGCTCTTGGGCTATCTGGAAGACTGCGAGCCTCTCTGCATACATAGGGACTGCTTGAGTTCTCCTCAGATCCACTCTCTGCACATACAGGCAGGATGTCCCCCCTCCTTTAGCTTAAAACTATCCAACCAATTTTAGACCAAAGCTGGTCTCTTTAAAGATATAAAGGATAAAATTTAAAGAAATATTTGGAGTTGTAAGCTAGTGAAGCAACCCCCTGGACTGATGAAGGGATTGCCTATGCTAATTCAGCACCCACAGTACATGCTTGAGGATCTGAGTGGGCGCTATACACAATTTGTACCACTGTGAAAAGGATAACTATTTTTGGTTGAAACCACATACAAGGGAAAGGCAGACTCAGAGACATGGTATTGAGCTACCATGGTTGCCATGTGAGGGACAAGTTCGCCAAGGCCTTGCTCTCACATCTGCTGCATTTGCCAGTGCTGAAGGGTGCAAAAATGGTTGCATCACTTCATGAACCCAGGCTTCTAGCTTGTTTTTAGCGTGCAATTGGTCAGCCTGCCCCGAGCTGTAGCCCCAAGTTTGTGCCAGTGTGCTGCTTCAAGACTTTGAGATGTACAGCTAAACATTCCTCTGTGAGAAATTTTCAAGGCAGTTTACAAGGATAGTAAACTAAATGCTTGCCATTAAGGTAAAGGAAGAAAACAATGCCAGCAGAGCTTAGGGCCACAGTTTTTTGATCCAGGATTGCATACTGCTGGGTAAACAGAAGTGTGTGCCCAGTGTTGTGGTAAACCTGCAGTGCAGACAGACTTGGAGAACCATGTGATCTTCCCTGACTAGTGATGATTCCATGGTTCTTTTATTATTGCTAGATTCTGAGGAACTGGAGTCAACTTGAAGCATTCCTTATAAGCTGTGAACAACTCGCAGGGTGCTTTGTTTCACAAGAGAGCCACTTGGGTTTCTTAAGAAGGAGGACCTGGTCTACACACAAACCACTCTTCAGCAGGTTCTCCATTCAACATGAGAAGAGGACTTGGCTCCTTACCAATCCCAGCCAGCTCTATGTCAAGCTCTGCCTTCCTCAAGGGTGGCGAAAAATAAATGAGAGGGATGTGTTGGGAATTGGAGCAGGGAAGTGCCCTGTCCTTGGGTCAATATGACTGTCTGTGCTGCCAGAATCTACTAAATGTCATTTTTACTACCTGTGTGTATTTTTCATGGGATTTTTTCTTTGTTGTGCTATGAATGGCATCAAGAGCACCCAATTTCATATTGTCTCCGTGTATTGCTAGGGGATTTAATATCCCCAGTGATCAAATTTTCACTGAATATGTATTTTGAAGCAAAGATAGAAACAGCCTCCTGCAGTCTTTTAATTGCCGTGCTATTATAATTAACTTCCTTACTTTCAGGCTTCAGCTTTCAGGATCCGATTCCCTGTGGCTTTTCCAGGCTGGTGTACTGATGGAGAACAGCTGTCAGGAAAAGGCCATTAAGTACCTCCTAGAAATTACCTCACCCAAGTAGGGGGTAGCCTCAGTAAAAAAAACCCACAACTACACAGAAGGATGAGAAGTTGGGCAGTGACTGAAGTCTGATTATTCCAGTTCATATCACTTAACAGTGATTCCCTGTGGCTTTTCCAGGCTGGTGTGATATGAACAGTTGTTACAATTTAGATGGGAAACTGAACCTCTTCCCATCAGTACCTTGTGCAAAGCAAATATGACTGTGGGGTGAAGTTTTAAGTTTCTGCAATACCTCTGGTGCTCACTGTGGATTTTATGACTTCGAAATTCAGTCTTTTCTCCCATTTGTGTGAACAGA